GCTGGACAGATTGAGCCAATGACGGCATGAGGCAAGGGAAGGAGCCGGGAAGGAGATGAAGGAATAATAGCCACCACCATGAGAAGTACACGGAAGCTTTAGAGAGGTTTCTTGCCCATATTGGACTCGAGTCTACTCAAGGAGACAGACAGAAAGCAACATAGATGCCAAGTGAATGGTACAGGCACCCAGTGATTCTCTTTGTCCTGAAGCAGAGCTGGAAGGATAAGCCTTGGGAGGACTTCCTGGTGGGCAGAGGCCAGACTTAAGAGCCATGTTCCTACCATCCATCCCTACCCAATGTGGTCAGCCCTGGTTGGCCCTTCTGGATAAGAGGAGTGGAATCAGCTCATGTCCAGGCATGTGAGTCCTGGGGGTTCTGAGCTCCTGAGAAGGACCCGAGTCAGGCTGTGTGACTGATTCTCTAGGGAGCCACCGGGTTCCATGGCCCCTAGAACAGCCCTGACCAGACTCCCAGCAGCCTTTGTGCTGCTATTAGATGAGCCTGAAGTTGGGGCTAAAAGAGAAAGGAGACGATGAAGAGGCTCCATGGGGAAGACAGTCGGAGCAGGCCAACCCACACTGTCCTGCCCCCTCCTTACTCCTTCCCCACTCCCACCCACAGCAATTTGAGAACTGGCGCCCCAACCAGCCTGACAACTTCTTTGCCGCCGGAGAGGACTGTGTGGTGATGATCTGGCACGAGAAGGGCGAGTGGAATGATGTTCCCTGCAATTACCACCTCCCCTTCACGTGTAAAAAGGGCACAGGTAAGCTGGGGCCTGGGAGGGGTCTGGGGAGGATAGGATCAAGACCTCCAGCTACAGGTGAGGCTCTTGCTGTGTGGCCTGGGGTGAGTCCCTTGTCTCCCGGCTGCTGGTGTCTCCTCACCTGTCCAAAAAGCAGATTGGAGCTGACCTGGGGGTCCCTCCTAGCACCAGCATCCCAGGGCCAATGGCAAGGGCAAGCTTGCTGCCAGGGACCATTTGCAGGGACAACGAGCACATGAAGGTCACAGGCTAGAAGACAGGACCCCCACTCCACACTCCACACAGTTCCTTGGATAGCAGCAGAGTTACCCACAAGGGCAACTCTGCTTGAGGTGGGGAGCCTCCCTGTCTTTGGGTTTCCCAAGGCCATCAATCACAGAGTCATAGTTGTCAGGCCTCGATCCCTTGGCTTTCAGTCTGTGGACATTGAGGTGCTGGTAGGATGCGCCCCACTGCCCCTGCTCATCACCTTGCATCCCCCAGGCCTCCTTTTGGTCTCATTTTACCCTGAACTGGATGTTTTCATCAAGAAGCCTAAGTCTGCCTGGCTCTCACCCTCCATACCTTTCTACCTCCCTTTCATCTTCTCTTCATCCCTTTAAAGACCACCCCGTTTGTATTCCCTTCCTGCTGTTCTAAGTTGTTGAGGAACCCATATGTTAGAGCCAGCAGCTTCTAGATTCCTAGCACTGTATGAAAACATCCAGGGCTCACTGTCAGGTGTTGAGGGTGTGTCCCCCACAGTGCCTCAGGTCACAGCCAGTTTAGGTCATCCCAGGAGACCCTATGAGACCCTTTATAAAGGGTGTTTGCCCCCCAGTGGCCTGTGGAGAGCCCCCTATGGTGCAGCATGCCAGGACCTTCGGGCAGAAGAAGGACCGGTATGAGATCAATTCCCTGGTGCGGTACCAGTGCACAGAGGGGTTTGTCCAGCGCCACGTGCCCACCATCCGGTGCCAACCCAGCGGGCACTGGGAGGAGCCTCGGATCACCTGCACAGATGGTAAGCATCACCCCGGCCACCCTCGCTGAGCACAGGGTTAGATTCTGCCCGCACAGCCTTCCCCCTGTCCCCGCTCCTGGGGACCCTGCACCATCCACAGGGTTGAGCAAGGGAGGGGAGGTCAGGGGGCTGCTCAGTCACAAATAGCTGATCGCTGCCCCTAGAAGGGCCACGTACTTGTCCCAGGAGAGGGCTCACTTTCACTGAGAGGATGAAGGAGAAAAAGGGAGAAAGTCCAAGAAAACTCAAAATCAGGAAAGCTGATAAAGCCTCAGGTGCCTCGCTGAGTCCCTGGTTTCCACAAGGGAGAGAGGATAGTCTGGGGAGAGCCTAGGCTCGCCCCACTTTCTTTCCAGGCCCACTGATATTTTTCCATCTCCCTTTCGCCCTAGCCACCGCCTACAAACGCAGACTACAGAAGCGGAGCTCACGGCACCCTCGGAGGAGCCGCCCCAGCACGGCCCACTGAGAAGAGCTTCCAGGACGCACCCAGGACGCTGAGCCCAGGAGCCTGCCAGGCTGACGTGCATCCCACCCAGATGGTGTCCTCTTCTTGTCGCTTTTTGTCAATAAGGAATCCCATTAAAGAAGGAAAAAAATAAATCCCACATTGTGTATGCACCCACTCACCCCTCCAAATCAGCAAAACCGCATCTAATTTGTCCGCCGAATGCCAAAGCAAAGCAAACTTATTATAACCCGTGGACTGAGTTTAGAGACATTTCTTCAATCTCCCATCGTGCCTTTCCAGGGACCAGTGCAGGGACAGGGGGAGAAGGGGAGGGGTTAAGTTAAATAAAGAAGATTATTTTTGTTTCCTGACTTTATCCAAGAGCAGTGCAATCGTTGGTTATTTCACCTCCAGGGAGAGCTAGGGAGGAGGGAGGAGGGCTCCAAAGGAGCTGGAAGGGGCAGAGGCCTGACAGCATGAAGAACTCCGAACTGCAGCTGAATGTATTGGATGAGAAGGAGCCAGGAGGGCTGCACCATCTATATGAGGGAGAAGCCTTGGGGGAGAGGGGCGGGTTCCTGCCTCCTGCCGAGGGTAAGCCGGCGGGGGAGAGCCATCTGAGGGACCTTCCACTGCCTGGGGGTTGGGTTCCCTCCAAGGGTCCCTCTTCCAGTGTCCTCTCTCTCATCTGGGTCTGCCACCCTAGCAGGTGGCAACTCGGCAGGGCTGCTGGGGGCACTTCCTGCCCAGTGGGGGTGCCACCCAACCTTCTCCCCTCCCCACCCCCACCCCCGGGACCGTGCAGGCACCAGGGTTCCGTGCACCTATTTATATTTTTGAAAACTGAAGATTATGATATTATAATAATAATAAAGACCTTGGAAGAGATCTATCTCTTTTCTTTTCCCTTTTTTAATTTAAGAAGAAGGCAATCATGACCCAGAGTCCCCCAAAGGGGCTCTTAGGAATGGTGGCAGTGGAGACAGGTTTTGATCAAATGATCTCAAATTGGTGTGACTCTGTGACTCTGGTCTGTTCAGAGCACCTGGGACAGTCACATCTGTTGTGCTTTATTTTTCCTAGGGTGCTAATGTGTTTGGTAGATGATCTGCATGTAAGCACAAGTGATATGTGTGACATGTGTCAGTCAGTGGGTACCATATGGATTTACAAGTGGGCACTGCCAAAGAACAACTCAAGCAAGACATCTGGTCACCTTGCGTGCTTTGGTTCTTTGTGATCACACTGCTCTGGTAGGTTGGTAGACTGAGTCCAAGAACAGAGACAAAAATCAGGATTTATAAGAAGGGAAGGGAAAAACGAACTGCAAACAGTCTGGGACAGTGAATCTTGCTTACACATTTGCAGGGTAAACTGCTGGCCAGCTAGTAGCAAAAAGGTCTGGGCATTCTGCCCTTAAGTACGCTATAGAGGCCAGGCACAGTGGCTCACGCCTGGAATCCCAGCACTATGGGAGGCCAAGGCCGGTGGATCACAAGGTCAGAAGTTCAAGACTAGCCTGGCCAACATGGTGAAACCCTGTCTCTACTAAAAAAATACAAAAATTGGCTAGGCATGGTGGCATGCACCTGTAATCCCAGCTACTCAGGAGGCTGAGGCAGGAGAGTTGCTTGAACCTGGGAGGTGGAGGTTGCAGTGAGCCGTAAGCCAAGATTGCATCGCTGCACTCCAGCCAACCAACAGAGCAAGACTTTGTCTCAGAAAAAGTACATTGTAGAAAAGCAATGAAAACAATTCCAATTGCTTATGGATTCCCCCAACAAACCTTGAGAGTTGAGCCTGCACATGCATGCCAGGCAATGTCCTTCTACCAGTGCCACCTCCTCAGACGCCTCCCTCATCACAGTCGCTGGACATGCCATTGAGCCTTTGTGAATGTGTGTATGTGTTGGTTCATGCATGCCAGTGTGAGTTCCTGGGTCCTGGTATCTTTTCAGGTGTGGGCGTGTGTACAGTTGTTTGTTCGTAGATATATACTTGTACCTCTACCTCTAGAAAGAACAGTGGGCCAAAGTAGAGTGTACAGCACTGGTTACATACTAGGCGCTCAATCATTACTTAACTAACTATTAATGAACTGATTAGTTGGTGATGCAACTGTCAGTGGTTTTCAAACTTAAGCATGCATCAGAATCACCTAAAGGGCTTGGTGATGACAGAGGGTGTAGGTCCACACCCCAGACTTTCTGACTCAGCAGGTCTCTGGTGGGGCCCAGGAATTTGCACTTCTAACAAGATCCCAGTGATGCTGATGCTGTGAACCACATTATGAGGAGCACTGAGCTAAGGGAAGAACTGATTGAATGAATAATTGGTTGGTGAGTGGCAGAGGCATTCCTGCGCAAGGCAACAAGTTCCCTGAGGCGAGGGTGGGAGTGGGTGGCAAAGGGTGAGGCACACGGAGCACTGGCCCCTAGATCCCCGGCCTCTGAGGTCCTCTGGAGGGCCACAGCTTCCTCTGTCTTCTGAGAGGCACCTCTGACTCTTCTGCTGGGCCTCACACAGACACACTGCCAAGGGGTGGGGATGGTGAAGACACAAGCCAGGTCCCCTGCCACTAGGCCAGCACCCAGGACCGGGTGAACCATTGAGCAGGCAAGGCTAGAACCAGCCCACAGAGTTCCCTGTTCACCCCAGGGACCTGACCCAGCCAACCTACGAAGCCTGGGCTAAAACTGCCCCCACCACACCCACCAGGCAGGGGCCTGCGCGCCCTGAGACCAAATGAGATGGAAACACAGAAAAGGACTGGGGATGGCGGAAGGCGGTCATAGCACCATTTATTGTCTAAAGAAAGTACACACACCTGAGAACAATGAGAAACAATTGTTTCTCCCCACACAGGGAACAATGAGAAACAAATGACAACAAAACAGATTCTTTGGAACCAAGAGGGGGAGGGGAATGGAGAGGGGAATTTCTCCCTTCCCTCATATTTCACCTGGAAGCCTAGAACTGGCTTCCAGCCCTAGCCCTTCAGTGGGCAGACTGGGGTCAGCAGCTTCACAGAGAAGTAGAGGTGGGCAGGAGGGGCCCAAAGCCCAGCTCTGGAGGCCCCCGAGGCCCTCTTCTTCCCCTAGGCTGAGGGGCAGGGAGAACTGTGCCCACCATGCCCTGACTCCCAGTGGCATTCTGGACAGGCCACCGCCCGCTCTGGGCACCAACCTCCTTAAGGGAGGGAGACCAGCCTGGATGGTGGGGAACCCTCCAGAGGCCCACAAAACCGCAAATGGCCCAGGGAAGCAGGCAAGATTTCTGGAGTGGGGCGTCCAAGAGCAAAGGGAGGCATTGGGTTCTGTTTGCTTTACAAAAAAAATAGTAAAAAAGTGTTTAAAGAAAATTTAAATTGAGAAGTATAAAAACAGTTAAAATGGCTCCAACCCACAAGGGAAAACGAACCACTCAATAAATACACAGCCAGTGAGAGAATTCGGCAGGGGAGGGCCCCACGTCCTAGTGCTGGCGGTAGCAGTAAACACCGTACAAGTGGCTCTGTGGGTCAGGGAAGCCAAAGCTTCGGACCCCAGGCTCCGGGGGCCCACAGTTGGGATGCGGGTGAACCACAGGGTAGCGGACGCTGCCATCTGCCAGCCAGCCAGCGTCGCAGCGGTCCAGGCCATGGAACTTCCAGGCGGCAAAGAGCTGTCCCACCTTGGCGATTGTGGCGTCATCTTCCTGGCAGGCCTCCTTTGCCTCTGTCAGTGTCAGCTTCTCAGGGTGCTCCAGGTAGTACACCCGCCCTGGGGGAAAGGGGGCATAAGTGCCAGACAGCACAGAGGGCAGCCAGAGAGCACAGCGGGGCCTGCAGAGATGCCAGCCCCAAAGACCCATCTGAGCCCAGGGAGCTACCATACTGCAGGCATCTGCAGAGAACACTTCCTAATCTTCACCCTCTCCCAGAAAGCTCCGTCCCACCTGCCATAGAACCCGGGTCCCTCCAGTCATGTCTGCACTCCCCCACCACCCTTCCCTATTTGCACCCTGGGTGGACACCCCACCTAGGCTGGACCAGTCAGGGTTTCTTGCCCATTCGGTCATTTACTGAACACCTACTATGTGTCAGACACTTTTCCAAGGGCTTGGCATATGACACTGAACCAGTTTCGGTTTTACTTGCTCATCTTCCTGTGAAAAGAGCTGCTTTGTGAAGACAGGCTGTGTTTTATTTGTCTGTGATTCCCCGGAGTCTAGTCTAGGCTCTAGCGTATGGTAGGCACTCAGTAAATATTTGGTGAATGAAGAAACCAATGATCGGCATAAAGCAGCAGCAGCAGCAGCAGCAAAGCACTCGAAACTCAACCAGACGCTGCTTCAAGGGTGGCTAGTGCTCTTGGCCTCCAGGTGGCAGTGCCAGCAGAGCCAGCAGAGGGGGCCAGAGCTCCCCAGAAGCTGCTCTCCCACAGGTCCTAGATGGCCACCAAACCCGCAGGCCTGGCCTTGGCCATTCCACTCACCCTTGAGGGCAGTGGCGAAGCAGAATACATCATAGCGGTGCCGGCGGCGGTGGCGGGGGCCGTAGCTTCGCACGCCAGGTGCCAGGCCCGGGCCACCGCAGGGCTGCCGGGGCAGCATGATGGGGTACTGCACCGTGGCGTCCTGCAGCCAGCCCGCGTTGCACCAGTCCAGGCCCTCCTCCCAGGCCCGGAAGAGCTGCTCAAAGGAGGCAACCACCGCGCCCTGCTCAGCACAGACCTGCTGGCCCTCATGGAAGTTGAGCTGATAGCGCCCGTTGGGGGACTGGTAAGGAAAGACCACACCTGTAGGGGGAGGAAAGAGGAGCTTAGGGGGTGGCCAGGGGCCCAGCTGGCTGGACACCCCACTCTCCTCCCACCCTCACTGGGACATGTGCTCCCTGCAACACACACACACATACACTGTCCCTCAGAAAAACTCAGCTAACCTCTGACCTCCTGTCCATTGCTGCCTCTCTCCTGGGACTCAGCTCATTCACAGCAGTACTCAGAAAACATCCATGAGTTAAGGTAATTAATTAGTCAGTTAATGCCCCAACAATAGAAGGGAAATGATACCTAATCCACAAGGCTGTTGCCAGACCCCCAGTGAGGCTGTGCCATCTTCTCCAGACAAGCCCGGACTTTGGGCTCTAGGGGCCAGGTTTGACTCCCAGCTCCCCACTCATTAGCTGGGACCTGATAGTGTATGTTATTATTAACGTGGAAATTTCCTAGGAAACTGCAAAGAACTTTCCACGTGCGGCAGATGATTTTCAGGAGAAGGAGAGGCCCTAGAGGGCATGGGGAGAGGGGTGGGGAAGGGCCTTTCCATAAAGGAGGCTCAAGGGCAGGGAGGTCCTGGGGCAGGCGGTTTCTCACGTTGTGGCCAGGGTCTGATGGGGGCCGCAGGCTTCCCTCAAAAGATATGTTCATGTTTGAAATTTTACTCTAATAAAAAGTTTTTAAATTTCTGAGATGCAGTCTCTACCAAGTCAATGAAACCTTAAGGAGTAGAGGTGACCCTAGGAGTCTGGGAAGGATACCACTTGACTGCTGTTGTTTACCCAGAGTCTTTGGAATCTCCTCCCTGTGGCCAAGGACCTGGGAATAGCCTGAGCCCCAAACCTCCAATCTCATCAGGGCAGGAAGCCAGGCACCTGGGCAAAGCCAGGTTGGGTGGCAGAGAAGCCCATGGGCTCTGACAATCAGCTTGCAGCCTCCACATGTGTTTGCAGGGGGACTGTTTCATGCCTGGTTCCACCCCAAATTCCTAGCCCTTGCAGCCCCAGGAATGGGGTGAGGGCTCCCTGTTTCTCTAGGCTGCCCCTGCAGACCCCAGACCAATGACTCTTGCAGGTTCTCCCCAACTCCACTGCCACCCCAAGTTCAGGAATGAGGAATGTGGACCCTCTGAGCCACCATTTAAGCCATGTGGACACTTGTGGCAAAGACGGAGAATGCATTTTAAGTATGTACATTTTATCCTCATTACCTCCGAGGGAGGTAAAGGAGGAAAGATTGTGATACCCCATTTTACACCTGAGAGGCCCAGGGTTCTAAGGGGGATGAGGCATTTACCCAGATGTCACAGCTGGGATGGGCTGGGGCTAGTCAGGTCACCTTCCTCTATGCCTAAACTGCCCTTAACATGTGGGAGAGAGATGAGGACACACAGCCCCATCCTAGAGACAGAGAAGGTAAATACAAATTAAAGATCAAACACGGACCTCACATACAAGACCTGGCTTGCAGGGTGTGGCTGGTTTGGACAGCATTGGGTTTTTGTTTTTCGTTTTTTGGGGGTGTTTTTGTTTGGTTGGTTTTGTTTTTTGTTTTTTGTTTTTAAAAAGAGGTTTTTACATAAAAATCAGTAGATCTCACATAAAAATATAAGCTTATCTTGTCAAGCCAGAAAATTCGGCAGAGTGGGGCCTGCATTCCGGCAGGGCATCATCAACTGGGCCTGAGTAGGGAGGGAGATCCCTGGGGACAGGACAAGGGCTCAGGAGTGTGCCCAGTCCCCACCACTCCCATTATCTTACACTGGGCTGCCTCATTCACTTGTGTTACCCGCTAACCTTGCTTAAATCTCAGTTCTATCTCTAATAAGCTGTGGGGCCAGCTCTGGTTTTCCTCTCTCTGAATGGGATGTGAATGAGAGCGGGTAGAGGGGAACAGATTTTAGAGGCTGGGTGCTTGGGTTCAGACCCCAGCTCTGTCATTTACAAGCTGTGTGACCTTAGGTAAGTTACCTGACCTCTCTGTGTCTCAGTTTCCTCACCTGTAAAATGGGGGTGATAACAGTAGCTTCCCTGTGGGTTGTTTTGAGAATTAAGTACTTATAAATGTCTAAAGCACAGAAATCTGGATGTTTTCTCTGGTCCTCTCCCCTCTGCTCTCAGGTCCCAGTGTCACCCAGTCCCCATCAGGGTCTCACCCCGCAGCTCCAGCTCTACCAGACCGCTTTCATCCTCCAGCCCATCAATGACCTCACAGCGGTAACGCCCATAGTCCTCCAGTCGCAGATCCTGGATCTCCAGCGAGACATCATGCTCCTTCTCCTGCCGCAAGTGCACGCGGCCTTGGTAGTCCCCAAAGGAGCGGTGCCTCACCCCAATGGCCACCAGCACGTCCTTCTCTGGGGCCCCGTTCTCCGACAGCTTCCACCATTTGATGCGCACGCGCCTTGGGGAGCCCAGGGCCGGCTCGTAGTGGTAGCGGCAGGGCAGGATCACACTGGCCCCTTGGTAGGTGAACAGGGTCTCCTCGGGTGTCTCCACCACCAGCTTCACTCCATTGAGGAGGTCTTGGGGGAGAGATAGGGTGCAGATGAGACCTGCTGCAGCACATCCGTACCCCTGCAAGGGCCACCTCACCCCCTCATCCACGGCTCCTCCAGGCTCAGATTGCAAAAATGGCCACCATGCTCCACCCCTCCCTGGATCCACATGCTCTGCAGTGTGACTTTGCATATCCTTCCATCAACAGATGACATTTATTCCCCCACCCCCTTGAATCTGTGCTGGCCTTGCCACTTGCTTTGACCAACTGAATGCCTTGGAAGTGACTATTCATCATGTCTGTTCTAAGCATAGGCCCCAGAGGGCCTTGCTGCTTCCACTCTTTTTCTTAGGACTTTGCCAGCCACTATGAGCACATGGCCAGGCTTGCCTGCTAGAGGATGAGAGACTACACAAAACAGAGACAGAGCGCCCCAGCTGAGGCCATCCTACAGCAACCAGCCCCCCGCTGACCTGCCCACCACGGGCAGGCACATCTGCAAGACCCAACTGCAAGACCTGAAGAAATGGAGCCCACTCCAAAATGCTGACCCACAGAATCATGGGCTAAAAAAAACGGCTGTCATCTTAAACAAGTCACTAAGTTTTGGGTGGTTTGTTATGCATCAAAATCTAACCAATGCAGCGGGCAACAAGAGCTATCCCACATGAGGTGCATGGCCAGGACAAGCGGCCCTGATAGGAATCCCTCAGAGTTTCCTTCCCCACCACACTGGCCAGAGGACAGCACAGCCCCAGCTTTACTCTCTGGTCCAGCTGTCCGCCATAACTCTTCCCAAATACCGAGCAGCCTAGTGAGCTAAGGGCAGAACTTCTAAAGGAGACTATGCTCAGGGCTCCGAGTTACAAATACACACAGAACTCAACATGCAACAAAAGAATCAAGTTCATAGGCTAAAGCTGCCTCTTCTTTAACTGGGGAGCCCCTATTGGAACCTCACTGATTAATTCTCTTGGGTCTAGACTTCAAGACATGCTTGATTTACTCAAGGTGGGGGACAGGGGCCAGGCATGGTGGTTCACGCCTGTAATCCCAACACTTTGAGAGGCCAAGACAGGAGGATCCCTTCAGCCCAGGAGTTTGAGACCAGCCTGGGCAACATAGCGAGACCCTGTCTCTACAAAAAAAAAAATTTATAACTAGCTGAGTACGGTGGCATGGGCCTGTGGTCCCAGCTACTCGGGAGGCTGAGGTGGGAGTATTGCTTCAGCCCGGGGGGTCGAGGCTGCAGTGAGTCATGATCGCACCACTGCGTTCCAGACTGGGTGAGACAGCAAGACTCTGTTGCTGAAAACAAAATAAAAACAACTCAATTAATTAAAAAGGTGGAGGCAAGGGGACAGCCTCATGGGTAAGCAGGAGACGGGAGGTTCCCTGTAGAGGAATCATGCTGAAAAAGAGCTATACTTAAGGTGGCAGATTGCCATATGTAGAGGCCTCCAAGTGTGGCCCTCGGGTCAGTAGCATTAGCATCACCAGGAATTTGTCAGAAATGCACATTGTTGGGTCCCAGTGCATCAGAGACTCTGGGAATGGGGTCCAGCCTCCAGAGGACTCTCAGGCTCATTCAGGTTAGAGCTGTCCTGCTCTGCAGAGGCAGTAGGTACAGAGGTTTGGAGTCGGGCAATCCGGGCTTGCATCTTGGTTCCACCTTTTCCCAGTTGTGTAATCCAGGGAATTCAAGCCTCAGCTTCCTCATTTGTAGAATGGGTTAATTACAGTCCCTACAGAGGGCTGTGATAAGGTTGAAACTAGGTAAGGCAGGACGCCTGGCACACAGAAAGTGTCCAATAGATATGAAGCAGGGCTATCATTTAGGGGTCACTTCCTTGGTTCTTCCCAACTCTCTTGAGTAAAGCTACCTTTGAAGTTTTAACCTGAATAAAATGAAAATGTACATCCATATGATAAAATACTATACAGCCATGTAAAATAATCTGGTAGATGTACATTCATTCTTTGACTTAGAAAATTATTTATATTCTGTGAGGTGATAAGGGAGACTACAAAATCACATGTATGACATGAGCTGATTTTGTTGGAAGAAAGTTTTCTAAATCATAAAGGAAAGCCTCGGCCAGGTGTGGTGGCTCACGCCTGTAATCCTAGCACTTTGGGAGGCCGAGGCAGGCAGATCACTTGAGGCCAGGAGTTCGAGACTAGCCTGGCCAACATGGTGAAGCCCCATCTCTAGTAAAAATACAAAAATTAGCTGGGCACGGTGGTGCACGTCTGTAGCCTCAGCTAACTCAGGAGGCTAAAGTGGAAGGATCTCTTGAGCCCAGGAGGCAGAGGTTGCAGTAAGCTGAGATCACACCACTGCACTCCAGCCTGGGTGACAGAGTGAGACCCTATCTCAAAAAAAAAAAAAAAAGGAAAGGCTAGAAAGAGATACCTAAAAAGTTAGCAGTGGTTCCCCTGGGTGGGGGGATTATATATGACTTTGCTTGCATATTCAGGGACAAAAGGGAGAGAGAAAAATTAAATGTCGGCCTGGTAGTATGGTGAAACTATAGGTAGGAAGTTTAAGTTTTTTAAATTCCACAAATCTCAATAAAGTAGTGCTTGTAGGCCCGGCACGGTGGCTCACGCCTGTAATCCCAGCACTCTGGGAGGCTGAGGCGGGCGGATCACGAGGTCGGGAGATTGAGACCATCCTGGTTAACACAGTGAAACCCCATCTCTACTAAAAATAGAAAAAAATTAGCTGGGCATGGTGGTGGACGCCTGTAGTCCCAGCCACTCGGGAGGCTGAGGCAGCAGAATGGCATGAACCCAGAAGGCGGAGCTTGCAGTGAGCCGAGATCACGCCACTGCACTCCAGCCCAGGGGACAGAGCAAGACTCTGTCTCAAAAATAAATAAATAAATAAATAAACAAATACAGTAGTGCTTGTACAACAAAATAAATTCTGAAGGAAAAGGGTGTGGTCGGCTAAATAATGGCCTCCCAAAATACCCTAAATCCTAATCCCTAGAACTTGTGAACATTACCTTATGTGGCAAAATGGACTTTGCAGATGAGGTTAAACTAAGGATGTTGAGATGGGGAGGGTATCCTGAATTTTCCAGATGGGCCCTAAATGCAAATACGCAAGTACCTGTTTAGAGGGAGGCAGAGGGAGATTTCCACATGAAAGAGAAGGCCAAGTAGCCATGGAGGCGGAAATTGGAGTGAGGCAGCTACAGGCAAGGAATGCCAGCAGCCATCAGAACTGAAGGAGGCAAGGCAAGAACAGATTCTCTCCAAGAGCCCCGAGGAGGCACAGTCCTATCCACACCTCGATTTCTGCACAGTGAAACTAATGTTGGATTTCTGGTGCCTAAAGCAGTGAGAGAATACATTTCTGTTGTTTCAAGTCACCAAGTTTGTGTCAATTTGTTAGAGCTGACCTAGGAGACTAATAAAAAGGGGGAAAGTTTCTCTGCAGGCACAATCATCTACTCAAAGGCAGAGGGAAAGGTGAGAAACCCCCAGCCCTGCACTTGCAAGTTCATGTGTCATCTCTGAACCAGGCTGTGAGCTCTTCATGGCAGGTGCTGGGTATTACTGAGACCAGCAAGCTGGTTCGTTCCTTCCACAAACAAGTGGAACAAGTTTTTTGTTGTTGTTGTTGTTGAGGCAGAGTCTCGCTCTGTCACCCAGGCTGGAGTGCAGTGGCGTGATCTCAGCTTACTGCAACCTCCTCCTCCCAGGTTCAAGCAATTCTCGTGCCTCAGCCTCCCAAGTAGTTGGGATTACAGGTGTACACCACTACACCCGGCTAAGTTTTTGGGTTTTTTGTTTTGTTTTGTTTTGTTTTGTTTTGAGATAGTCTCAGTTTGTTGTTCAGGCTGAAGTGCAGTGGCACGATCTTAGCTCACTGCAACCTCTGCCTCCTGGGTTCACGCCATTCTCCTGCCTCAGCCTCCTGAGTAGCTGAGATTAAAGGCATCTGCCACCATGCCCGGCTACTTTTGTATTTTTAGTAGAGACAGGGTTTCACCAAGTTGGTCAGAATGGTCTCAATCTCTTGATCTCATGATCCGCCCGCCTCGGCCTCCCAAAGTGCTGAGATTACAGGCATGAACCACTGCACCTGGCCAATTTTTTGTATTTTTAGTAGAGACGAGGTTTTGGTATGTTGGCCAGGCTGGCCTCGAACTCCTGACCTCAAGTGATTCGCCCACCTCTGCTTCCCAAAGTGCTGGGATTATAGGCATGAGCCACCGCACCCAGCCCTCAGCTTGTCTTTTTAATAGCTGTGTGACCTGGACAACTGGATTAACTCTCTGAGCCTCAGTTTGCTCATCTACAAGAACAGATGATAATGGAATCTACTTTCGGGCTGTGAGGGCAGGCAGCATCAATTCAGCCTGGTCAGCACCCATGCTTCACTAGTGATTACAAATGTGTATTTTCGGCAGGGCTTGTTGGCTCACGCCTGTAATCCCAGCACTTTGGGAGACTGAGGCGGGTGGATCACCTGAGGTCAAGAGTTCAGGACCAGCCTGGCCAATATGGCAAAACCCCCATCTCTACTAAAAGTACAAAAATTAGCCGGGTGTGGTGGCAGATGCCTGTAATCCCAGCTGCTCGGGAGGCTGAGGCAGAAGAATCGCTTGAACCTGGGAGGCAGAGGCTGCAGTGAGCCAAGATTGTGCCACTGCACTCCAGCCTGGATGACAAAGTGAGACTCCGTCAAAAAAAAAAAAAAAAAAAGTGTATTTTCACCTTTGCCTACGTCAGGGCTTTTGTGATTATAAGAGACGACATATGCAAAATATCTAGAAGCGCGCCCAACCCATGATGGGTGCACAATAACTGCTACTTTAAAAAGTTCCCTGCCCAAGGCCACACAGCTAGTAAGAGGTAGAATTATAAGACTGAAACTCAGGCCAGGCATGGTGGCTCATGCCTGTAATCCCAGCAATTTGGGAGGTTGAGGTGGGTGGATCATCTGAGGTCAGGAATTCAAGACCAGCCTGGACAACATGGCGAAACCCCGTCTCTACTAAAAATACAAAAATTAGCCGGGGTGGTGGCACATGCCTGTAATCCCAGTTACTTGGGAGGCTGAGACAGGAGAATCGCTTGAACCTGGGAGGCGGAAGTTGCTGTGAGCTGAGATCGCGCCGTTGCACTCCAGCTTCGGCAACAGAGTGAGACTCTATCTCAAAAACAAAACAAAGAAAGATTCAAACTCACATCTATTTGACCCGAAGTCCCCTTTCCACTGGGGGGACCAGGGGAGGACACATTTAAGCTGGACCCTGAACAACTGGCAAGACTTTTAGGGAAAGTAAAAAGCCTAAGTGAATTGGGCCCCATGCTTAAGGGGCTGGCAAACACAGGGAAACTAAATCACCCCTTCCTCTGTCTGCAAAGCAAGCTGGTCCACTACAAGGGCCCTGCTGGAATGTCCCTGTCCCAGCCTGGAACCCACAGATCACAGCAAGAGCCAAGGAGGTCTAGGTCACCCAGGGGAGCAAAGAGCTAGGTGGAGGATGTCGCCTACCTTTGCCATGACCGTTGCCTGGGTTCTGGTCGTTGGCGCTGTTGGAGTAGTAGAAGCCATTGTAGAAGGGCAGTCCGTAGGAGCCTGGCAGCAGGAGCAATGGGACCAGGAGCAGCAGGCCCATCTCCTCATGCCAGGGTGACCCGGGCCAGGCTGGGGCCCCAGGGCAAACTGGGAAGGGGAGGAAAACAAGGCAATTAGAAAAGCCCAGCTTCGAGAGCCGGCATCCCCTCTACTCCAACACCATTCACTCGTTTGCTCAACAGCTCACTGCGGGACACCTGCCACCTGTGTGCCAGATGCTGTTCCCGGAGCTGAGAAGACAGCAGTGACAAGCTAGATGAAGTTCCTGCTTTCAGGGAACTGCACCCCGAAGGCAAGATGGGAGATCAGCAAAGAGACAAATTATAAGAAGGAAGTAACAGGCAGCTAAAAGACAACAGAGAAAATTAAGCAGGACGATATGACAGGCTCAATGTTTTTCAAGCCAGAGGTTTGAATTTGAAAGGTTATGAGCAGGCCGGGCATGGTGGCTCAGGCCTGTAATCCTAGCACTTTGGGAGGCTGAGGCAGGCAGATCACCTGAGGTCGGGAGTTCGAGACCAGCCTGGCCAATAGAGAAACCCCATCTCTACTAAAAATACAAAATTAGCCGGGTGTGGTGGCGCATGCCTGTAATCCCCAGCTACTTGGGAGGCTGAGACAGGAGAATCGCTTGAACCCAGAAGGCAGAGATTGCGGTGAGCCAACATCACACCATTGCACTCCAGACTGGGCAACAAGAGTGAAACTCTGTCTCAAAAAAAAAGAAAGAAACAAAGAAAGGTTATGAGCAGCATTTTTAAATGACACCAAATAAGCTAAACTAGAACAGAAAATATCAGGGTGCATAGATGGTATGTTAAGCAAAGATGAGTCCTGCATTTTTTTTTTTTTTTTTTGAGATAGAGTCTTGCTCTGTTGCCCAGGCTGGAGTACAGTGGTATGATCTCAGCTCACTGCAACCTCCGCCTCCTGGGTTCCAGAGATTCTCCTGCCTCAGCCTCCTGAGTAGCTGGGACTACAGGCGCCCATCACCACGACCGGCTAACTTTTTGTATTTTTAGTAGAGGCAGGGTTTCACTGCCTTAGCCAGGATAGTCTCCATCTCCTAATGCACCTGCCTTGGCCTCCCAAAGTGCTGGGATTACATGCGTGAGCCACTGCGCCCAGCCTGTTTTTTGTTTTTCTGAGAAAGGGTCTCACTCTGTCGCCAGAGTGGAGTGCAATGGTGCGATCTCAGCTCACTGCAACCTCTGCCTCCCGGGTTCAAGTGATTCTTGTGCCTCAGCCTCCCACGTACCTGGGATCACAGGTGTAAGCCACCATGCCCAGCTAATTTTTTTTTTTTTTGAGATGGAGTCTCGCTCTGTCGCCCAGGCTTGAGTGCAGGGGAAGCTCCGCCTTCCAGGTTCACCCTATTCTCTTGCCTCAGCCCCCCGAGTAGCTGGGACTACAGGCACCCACCACCACACCCGGCTAATTTTTTGAATTTTTTAGTAGAGACAGGGTTTCACCGTGTTAGCCAGGCTGTTCTCAAATTCCTGGCCTCAAGAGATCCACCCACCTCGGCTCCTAAAGTGCTGGGATTACAGGTGTGAGCCACTGCACCGAGTAAGGTCAAAAATTTTTTTTTTTTTTTTTTTTTTTTTTTTTTTGAGAAAGAGTCTTGCTCTGTCACCCAGGCTGGAGTGCAGTGACACAATCTCAGCTCACTGCAACCTCCACCTCCTGGGTTCAAGTGATTCTCATGCCTCAGCCTCCTGAGTAGCTGGGATTACAGGCGCGTGCTAACATGCCCGGCTAATTTTTGTATTTTTAGTAGAGACAGGGTTTCGCCATGTTGGCCAGGCTGATCTCGAACTCCTGACCTCAGGTGATCCACCCTCCTCAGCCTCCCAAAGTGCTGGGATTACAGGCGTGAGCCACTGAGCCCAACTCAAAAATAATTTTTGAACACCATGCTAGAGGTCTTGGGAGCTATTCCAGTTTGGGTGAGCACTCAAATGAAAGAGGTAGCCCACCCATGGGCTGTAGTTTGATGATTTGATTTTTTTAAATATTGCATTAAAATATTATGTCTTGATTACTAAGATTTTTAGCAAACCCCCTTCCTCCCCGGCTTAAACCTCACACTGAGGGCTACTGCCTCACTCATGTCACCCTAGCCCCGCTCACCTACCATTTACTGCACACTCTGAACAATTAAAAGATGGGGTCACTCCTTGAAGGAGCTTGGTCCAGGGAGGGGGCAGAGGCGTGGGCAGGCAGTCTCGATTGCTGTGTGGTAAGTACCAAGATGGAGGTACAGAAACAGGAATGTCCAAATGAGACTGAAGGTACAGGAGTTTGCCAGGTGAAGAACTGACAGGTTTATCCAGTAGGGCACTGCCACTACAAAGGTGCAGATGCCAGCAAGAGTCCCGATCCTGGGGGTGCTGGGGGTGTACAGGGGTTCCTTCATTTGTCCCACACACCCACCAGATCCATCGTCTGTCCTTCTCTGACATGTATTGGTCCCTGTGGGTCACTTGTCTCGGTTCCCCGGCCCTCTGGCTTCTAGTGGGATAGAGCCAATGGGAGGCACTCAGAGAAGATGGCAGAGAGGGAAGAGAAGGAAGACCGGGCATTGCTTCCCAGCTCCCTTGCCACCCCAGGGCCTCTGCCACACAGTGTCTGCTGCTGCTGGTCTCTGAGTCCCCAGCTTCCTTGTTGAGTCCCTTCACCCTGCTCTCTAGAAGTCATTCCTCCATTAAAGTTTCTTCATTGGAATCATCTGGGCTGGATTCTGCTTCCTGCAAATACCCTGGCTGCCATGGGGGAGAGAAGGTAAGGGGGTCACCAGGGCCAGTGTCTGGACGCCTTGGGTGTCAGGCCCAGAAGCATATCCTCTTTTTATTTTTTTTTTAAGATAGAATCGCACTCTGTCGTCCAAGCTGGAGTGCAGTGGCAAGATCTCAGCTCACTGCAACCTCCGTCTCCTGGGTTCAAATGATTCTCGTGCCTCAGCCTCCCCAGTAGCTGGGATTACAGGTACGCACCAACACGCCCCACTAATTTTTATATTTTTTGTAGAAACGGGGTTTCGCCATGTTGGCCAGGCTGGTCTCAAACTCCTAGCCTCAAGTGATCCACCCACCTCGGCCTCCCAAAGTGCTGGGATTATAGGTATGAGCCACCACACCTGGCCAGAAGCCTATCCTTTGTCCTGGGGGCCAGTGATGGCTTTAAGCAGAGAAGTCACAGGATCAGACTCACATGTTAAGATACTTCCCTGCAGGGACTGAGTGGAAGGTGGACCTGGGGGCAGCAAGACAGCAGGCAGCTGCAAACATAACTATGATTATCATGTAGCAACGTGGAAGAATGCTTAGGGTGTGAGTTAAAATAGACAAAGCAGAACATACAATTGCCTCTGCTATGATTGCAACCATGTGGTCTTGTGAATGCCTGTGTACAGGACCCAGAAGATGAGGAAACACTTAAAAGAAAGAGGAAGGGAGGAAGGGAGGACGGAAGGGAGAAGAGAAGGAAGGAAAGAAGGAAGGGAGGGAAGGAGGGAGGGAGGGAGGAAGGGAGGAAGGGAGGAAGGAAGGAAGGAAGGAAGGAAGGAAGGAAGGAAGGAAGGAAGGAAGGAAGGAAGGCAGGCAGGCAGGCAGGCAGGCAGGCAGGCAGGCAGGCAGGCAGGCAGACAGGCAAAGCATTGGCTTGTTAGAGTGATGGGATTGTGAAGTAAACATTCTTGTTTCCAGAACAGTCAGGAGCGTTTGCTGGAGAGAATGGATGTAAAGAAAGTTGAGAGGCAGAATCCACCATTCTCTTAGACATCTTCACAGAAATCCCGAGGCCCAGACGTGCCATCTATGCTGTGCACTGCAGCCAGGACACCAACAACTCTGAGGCCCCGCTTCTTGTCCAAGAGGAATTCATTCCCCTGTTGACACCTGTAAGGCCCCTTGGCGATAGAGAACTGGGAGGCCTAAGCACAATGGGGCAGCCTGGTACAGAGTTTGGGAACTGGAAGATCGGAGTTCAAATCCCACCTCTACTACTTATTCACTGCGAGATTCTGGGCAAGTTTCCTCGGTTACAAAATGGAGATCATAAAACTCACCCTGGTATATTTCTCACCAGTGCATTCTAGTTTTCTCCTAAAGTAACAGGTATAGATGGGTGTATGGCCGCTCAGCTGAAGACTGCATTTCCAGCCTCTCTCGCAGCTAGGAGAGCTATGTGACTCAGTTCTGGTCAATGGCAGCAAGCAGAAATAACATGTGCCACATCCGGGTCTGGCAGTGAAAACAATTACAGATGCCTTTCCCTGGTATTCTTTCCCTCAACCTTCTGGAAACCACAGTAGCCAGCTAAGAGTCAGAGATGGAAACCACAGATTAAATGGCAGAGCTGCCCATCAGTCCTGGACCTCCTCCACTTGCACTGTCCCATGAGAGAGAAACAGAGTCCTATCGTATTTAAGCCACCACTTTTTGCGTCCTTTATTTTTTTTTTTATTTTTTTATTTTTTTTTGAGACAAAGTCTCACTCTGTCACCCAGGCTGGAGTACAATGGCACAATCTTGGCTCACTGCAACCTCCGCTCCCAGATTCAAGCAATTCTCCCTGCCTCAGCCTCCTGAGTAGCTGGGATTACAGGCACCTGCCACCACACCTGGCTAATTTTTGTAATTTTTTTTTAGTAGAAATGGGTTTCGCCATGTTGGCCAAGCTGGTCTTAAACTCCTGACCTCAGGTGATCTGCCCACCTCAGTCTCCCAAAGTGCTGGGATTACAGGCGTGAGCCACCACGCCCGGCCTGCATCTCTTTGTCAACATAGCTTAACCTCACTTGTCCTAACAAATACACACGCCACAGCATTACTATGATCAGCATAAAAGTATTAACAGCTGAGCACTTACTCTCTCATTTATTTTATCTTTGTTTTTGTTTTGAGGCCAAGTCTCACTCTGTTGCCCAGGATGGAGTGCAGTGGTGCGATCTCGGCTCACTGCAACCTCCACCTCCTGGGTTCAAATGATTCTCCTGCCTCAGTCTCCCATGTAGCTGGGATTACAGGTGTGCGCCACCACACCCAGCTAATTCTTTGTATTTCTAGTAGAGATGGGATTTCACC